TTGCTATAGAGAGTCGAGGTGTGTGATGCTGCATATCTCAGTATTGATCTGAAACCAAGTAAATCAAGGGCCACGATCACCCATACTGATACCAATACTTCCTATCGTTTAAGTTTGATACATCAACAAACTTCAGACCTTTATCTGTTTTTGTGGTTTTTTCCTCCGAATTATTTTGTTAAAACCTAACGAAGGTGGTGGAGTCATGTTTTGGGCTGAAATCATGGGAGAGAATCGTTGGTCGGCCCTTCAGAGTCCCAAAGGTGTGAAAATGACCTCAGCAAAGTATAGGGACTTTCAAAGTATTGGTCACTTTCTTTCATGATTCAAAAGGAAGAGCCGTAACTTTGGTGGCAAAATCATCTTCATGCATGACAAAGCAGCATCTCATCCTGTGTCATCGGCTGCTATGGGCATGAAAGGGGTGTGGTCACCATCGTCACGGTGACCACATCTTCATCCACATCGCATGGTGTGGTCACCTCTGACCTCAGTAAAATTTGATTTATACTGTAATAGCTCACGACTTCAAAATTATACTGATCATCATTTGCATTGATCATTTAAAAAAATCTGAGAAAATATCACTTGCATAATAGTTTGGAACATTGTGTAAAAATAGCGGCTCAGTGTGAGTCCACGTGCGTGTATTCGCGCTTGTGCGTGTGTGTGTGTGCGTGGGTGTGTGTGTGTGTGTCTGTGTGTGTGTGTGTGTGTGTCTGTGTGTGTGTGGTTTTTTTTGTTCCAAACACAGCTGTTCCCCAGCGGTCAGTGGAGGCAGCAGATGGAGAAACTCATGTTTATTTTTGCAGCAGCAAACCCTGAGAAATCTGCAGGAAAGGACCCTGTTCCCATGGAGACCCTCATCTGTTGTGTGTGGAGCAGCATCCAGGTGTTAGGGAATGTCAGTGATGGTGAACTGCTGGCCAATTCATTGGACAAATCAAACAAAAATGGCAAGAAAACACAATCACATGCGTACACGCCTTTGGTTTAGGAGACGATTTTGACTTCCACGGTGTTTATGGGGACGCGCACACACAGGGCATGCGAGACAGTTCACACACAACCAGCATGTACATTAAGGACTTAGACTGGCTGCTGAGTTGGAAGAAAAACCTCTAAGACACGCCGAGCTCATTAGCTACCCGTTAAGGCTCACATGGCCTGAGAATGCTGGTGTGTGTACCTGCGCGCGTGAGTGTGTTGGTTAAAAGGAGTTGACATGTAAAGGTTCATCCACTGAGTGCATTTTGCTCCATCAGAATCAAATGATCCAAACAGATCCCTTTTGTTGCTTTCAGGAAGAGCATCTTTAGGAGAAACCATCGCTGTATCCAGTCTAACAAGTGCAACTCATACAGGTGTGTGTGTGTGTGTGTGTGTGTGTGTGTGTGTGTGTGTGTGTGTGTGTGTGTGTGTGTGTGTGTGTGTGTGTGTGTGTGTGTGTGTGTTTCCTTCTGCTCTGGGTTACAGCGCAGTAAGAGGGAAAATACCTCCAGAACTATGGCAGATTACAGGGGATTACATGGTAAACTCAGCATCAGGATGCTTGTGTTTTTGCAGTCCAGAATGTGAGAAAAAGAGTTTAAGTTCCAAGGCAAATACTCTGACCCCACATCGCTTGGAGTTGCTTCAGTATTGCTGTCGGAGTGTGTGTTTCTATTCCACAGCAGCGCAGGTTCCACAAAGAAACAAAGTGTCAGAGCAGTTGAGTGATTGGATTAGCAGATCAGGTTATTTTGATCTGAGAGCTGCAGCTGGTGTTGGAGCCGGTCCAGACTGAGGCGCACCGTCATATATTGCAGGAGGAACGCCCTGCTGCTGGCTCGACGCGCAGCAGACATGTGGGGCGCTCTTTGTAAACGCACGCAGTAAAAAACATTTACGGCAACATTTTTGGTTTATTTAGCTTATCAAAAAGGGAAAAAAGTAGGTGTTCATTTTTCAAAGTCGTATTCCCAAACTAAAATATATATTCATAAACTACATGTATAGTTTATGAATTTGTATTTTTGTAATTAAATATTTGGTTAGGAGGCTAAACATTTAGTTCCTAACAAAGTGCTTAAGTCTGAGCTAAATATTTAGTTTTCAAACTATATGTATATTTCAATAAAACATTTAAGTCCTAAACTAAACATTTACTCTCCAAACTTGTATCTAAAGTTACAAGTCCAAGCTAAATATTTAGCTAATATGAAAATTAGTTTGCAAGATAAATGTTTAGTTTGTTTGCTAATTATTTAGCTCATTTTAGATGTTCTTTATTTTGGTAGTTCATTACTGGATCATTGATTTGCTTCTTTGTAATTTTGATACAAAACAAACTCATCAGAACATCATTTCATTTTCTGTATCTGTGGATAATAACTCTCGCCCGCATCCACAAGAATGGACGTGTCAAATACATCTCAGCTTTCTAAAAATAACTAACTGAACTAATTGAAAGTAAAGTGATTACTTGAAACATTAAAATGTGAAAAAAAAAGCCAAACATGGAAACATGTCGTTTGGTTCGTTCAGAACGTTTTTGCCAACATGTGACTGTCGAGCCTAATGAAGGCCTGGTGCAGCTTTCAAGGGAATCTCTGTGGATTTCTCTGTTTAAAGATCTTCACTGACTGCTTTGACTAATGTTTGAGAGATGTCCAAACATTTTGTCATGTGGGTCAAAATCATGAGCTCAAAATGACTTGTGGGCCAAAAATATACATATACATATTTAAAAACTAAAATGACCAAAAATGTGACAAAAAAAAAAAAACTCAGCTAAACTATAAATTAAGCATGATTTGTTTAAATAAAATAAAAATGTAGATGTCTGCATAGGGTCGGGATTGTTGATCCTAAACTTGAGATGGTTTTTCCTTGTTAAATGAAAAGCATCCAGTTTGCTTATTATTTCAAGCTTAATTAACAAAAACTCAAAAAAACGTCTTTTTTTTTTATTATTATTTTCAACAATAAGAACAGCATCTTGGTTAGTTTTCATTTTAAACCACTTGCTGTAATTAGTCAAGTTTAATACAGCAAATAAAAGCAGATCTCTTTACCCCACAGTGGACTTTAGACTACACATCAATATGGCTGTAGTTACCATGACAATATAACCAAAACAGTAAGGTTGGAAAAGGGACCATTATGTTTTGCATCTAACATTCCTGTAAGTAGATTTTGATTTAAAAAGCGTAGTTTTGTTTTAATTTATTCTTGAGTTCTTGCCGTAAACAGATCTCTTCATAAATGATTCTCGTTTGCATTTTTCAACAAATCTCTTTGTTTCCCAGTGATTGAAGAGGAGCGTGCGATCACACCAGCCTTTACATCAAGCTTTCATTCCAGAGAGAAAATGTCATCCTGCAGCACATCCTCTTTAGAAGATAATCTGAAATGTAGATTAAAACGAGCCTCTTGTGTATTCTGAACAGAACAGCTGGTTATCTCGGGGGAAACAGGATTGAAGCTCGGCCTGCAAACGCAGGCTGAGCTCGCTTGAGTTATTCAAAGTTGCTTCCTAAAATGAGAGTGAGCGCTGACGACAGAGGCCCCGGGGTCAGATGTGAGAGCGGGTTATAGATCACCAAGCTCCTCTGTTTGTGCAATCTGTCGACCTTTTCCTTTCCCCTCTCAATTGTTTATGTTTAGCTTCGCTTTTTTACCTCTGACTCTTGTTTAGCTTAGCAGGGAACGTGTTAGCAAGCAAGCAGAGGAGGAGAGTTTGCCCACTTACCCAGGTAAGCCTATTACAGAATTATGGCAGCGGCTGAGACTTTGCGGTGACAAGACGCTCACACATTTATCACCTCAGGATGTGTTTACTCCAGTTGTGAGTTGTCATTTCACGTTTTCAGACTTTCTTTTTTCCTGGCATGAGACAATGTTGGTGTTGGGAGATGTAGTGAGAGAAACTAAGGGTCTTCATCTACTTTAAAGTAAAGTTAAGCCCATTATTCATCCTCTGCCAGTGTCAACCCCCACAGTGTGACTTCTGTCCACCAGCTCATGAGCTGAAAAATGTTCAATTTCATACCAATAAACATGTCTGAATCTATTCATGTCAAGCTGTTCTCCTGTTTTGTTTTGCTTCTTTTATGAGATCCTGGCAGTGAAAAGATAAAGAGGACAAAAAGTGGAAGCATAGATTCTGCTTCCCTCTAGTGGCCACCGCCCTACATCACAACTCTTAGTTCATGAAAAATCTCAGCTTTAAAATATTACATTTAAGTTTCACTTTATGCTGTTTTGACAAAACAGTTTGTCATGAACGTGTAAAACAAATTTTGTGTGGTTAGAAACTGAGGGAATAATCCATTTTCTTCTTATATTTTATTCATTTAAATTTTTTTTTTAATTAATTTATTTATTTATTAAAAATTGCAAAGACTATTCTACTGGGCCAAAAAAGACCCAAAACATTTTTGCCTTCTGATTAATAAAGTAAATACAGAATATTTTCATAAATCATGATCTGATTTATGGTTCTGTTATTTTCTATTGGCTTAATATAGATTAATTTTTATGTGCATTTAGATGTCTGTATCTTTTCATTTCTGTGAATGGATATCTTTAATAATTAATGTGTTTTTTTACTATATGATACCACTTTTGGTTAGAAAATGTAAATTAGCAAACACATGTTGGAAGGGAAATTTATGGGAGTTTGAACCTGTTGTCACGGAAACCGCCAGAAGGTAGAGAACTAAAAATACTCAAGCAGAGCTACTCTTACTTATTGTAGCTCAAGCGAAATTAATCATTTCAACATTTTAGTAATGTGGAAATGTTATAATTATAATTGATATAAATAACATAATTACAAAACATCATCAGGCAAAAGAAACATTTTTCCAAATAAATTTCTGTCGACGTTAAACAGAGACTGTGTGTGTCTGGGGAATTTATTTAAAGACAAGTTTGTTCTTCATTCAGTGAGGTTCCTCACAGAGGGTAAAACATCCAGAAGTTTTTGCTCAGAGTGGAGAAACTTCATACCAAAATAATAAAGAATAAAAACACTCAAGTAAAAGTAAAAAGCACAGTATAGTAAAAATGTTCCTAAAAGTCATCACCCCCCCAAAAGTGTAAGAAGTTAATACCTAACTGTGTGTTCACCTTTACAATATTTACTACTTTTAACTGTAATGAAAGGCCTGGCCACAGGGTGGCGCCCTCTCTCCACTCTAAGTGTTGTCTGAAACACTTAGAGTGGATTGAGAAAGTCCCCTAAATTTTCCAAACTTTCTCTGTCCAGTGTTGCGGTGACGTTTCTCCTACAGTCAAAGGTCAACTCTCCACCAGCCCGTCGGAGCATCATCACACTGAACCAGAAACAGAGTCCGATAAGAAGAGCCGTTCTCCAGTCAGAGGGAGGAGGAGGAAAACCTTCCCTCCAGACACTCTTCCTGCTTTTTCTTGCAGATAATAAAGGCATACTTTGGAGGCATTCTATTATGTCGCAACAAATGTCTCCTGAGATGTTTCGTGAAGAGAACAGGCATGTTGGAACAGCTGGTCTGGTTTCCAGGTGAAGGAAATTCCTCCAGGCGACACATTTTCACCAATTCTTCAGTTAGTTAACAAATCCGTTGAATTTAACTAACAGTCGTTATCTGAAATCTCAGCAACGTGAAAACGAAGAATATTCAAATGTGTTTTGGTTTGTTTTTGTGTGATTTTTATCTGCCACATTAAAAGCGTGGAGATGTTTGCATTCATCCGATTCCTTCCCTCTTCTGCTGGTTCATCTTGAACCAGCAGGTGGTGGGCTGGAAAACACGTCAGAACAACCTAAAAGGTAGAAAGAAAAAGGGAGTCGGTGGAAAAGGGCACAATATGAAGACAAAGACAAAGCTGAGGATGTTCTATGAACACAGCAGAGGCAGAAGAAAAACATTTCAGTCAAAAATATGAGTGATTCTCCATAAACCTGGCATTTAGTGACAGTTTTATAATCAAACTATGTTGCTATGGTCACATAAAGTTCATAGGTGTGAGATCTGACTCCATGACAGCAAATAATAAAGTAATAAAAGTCTTGCTTTAAGGACTTCTAAGCCTTTAAAAATCTGCTGGTATATATTTACAACTTTGAAGACCAAAGATTTGAAGCTTCATGACAACAAATCTGCTTTTCATTTTCAAAGGATTGTTTTACGCAGAAGGAGTCGTTGATGTTAACCTCACATTAAATCATGACCCTCTGTGTCGGTGGCTTTTTCTATTCAGACGTTTGCAGGACGTGGTTTTACCCAGCAGAACGTTGGTTCAATGAGGATCAATCCAAATGGACTGAACTGAAATGAGCTTTTTGGAAAAGTGCCTTGAGGCAGTATTTGTTGTGAAATGGTGCTTTAGAAACTGAATTGAATTGAACTTCTGGTTTTATCTAACTAATGATTGTGTTGTTTTATCTGTTTTATTCTTAACCTTCATTTTATGCTTGACATTCTTATTTGTTTAAGCCTTTTTGTCTACAGTAATAAGTAAGTTTCCTCTTGACATGCACCTTAATAACTGATTAAGACTTTATGTATTCATCTATTTATCAGTTAGATGATATATAACTCCAATTTTGTTACATACGGTACTTGAAAGATAATGACAAATAACAAATCTTATGTAAAATTGACTTTTTTTTTAGCTTTACATCGTGTTATGATGTTGTTCCGTCATCAGAACATACCTGGTGTGTTGCCTTGATTCTTTCATACATGTTTGAGAAATCTCCCATGGCGGTAAAAACGTTGCCAGGGTTAATACAGGAGCCATGTTGCGATGACTTCTTGAAGGAAGAGCTTCAGAACGAGTAAGAGTTTCTTAAAGAGACAGAGGCCCAATTTCAAGATGTCATGTTGGGAAGTCAAGTTTCTTCCAAATCATGTTTAACATACACAGCATTTTTATAACAACGGAAGGTAATAGATTGTGCTAATAGATGCCACTATGTATACTACCCCTTTAAACATAGATTTGCACATCAACAGCCATTTGCACACAAAAAGTTTTCATTATTTATTGGGTATTTCATTAAAATTTGTAGACACTATGTAAACGGTTGTAGGAAAGGTCATGGGTTAAAACCTCTCCTACAGATGTTTCTCTAGAGATATTCGATATTGAGTGCTTGGTTTTGGGAAATAAATCATGTAAAACCAGAAATTAGATGGCAGTTTCCTTTTTGAATTCACTAGTACAGAAGAACACACCTATGGATAAAAATGGTTTCCAGATTTTATTTTGTATGTAATCATAATAATTAAAAAAATATCAAGAAATTCAGACGAAAGAAGAACATTTCCCTGTTACTCTCTCCATTTTACATCAGCTCTAAAAAGCCATTACAGCAAAAGAAGTGGACGTCACGTTAAAACTCAAATAGTTTCGGATTTCCATCACGTTTAGACAAAACAAAGAAATAGAAAACCTGGCGTTTATTGACATAGAGCTGTATATTCCGGTGGACTGGTGGCTGAGCCAGAGCTCCTCCTCACACGTAGCCTCTGCCTCCTGCAGAGCTGGACGAAGGGTAGCTGGAGCCTTTATCGGAGAAGCGCCTGTCTGAACACATACAGCACAGGAAGCCCCCACCAATGATGCACATGCAGGCCGCTCCCCATCCGACGTACAAGGCAGACCCGAATTCAGACCTGTGGACAGCACAGATCACCGTGACGCCTCAAAGCATTTGGTTTTAGACGCCTGAACGATAATAAAACATGAACAACAGCACATCCAGCTGCAACAGTTCAGATTGGGCTTTGGACACTGATGGTACTGAAGATTCTATAAAAGGCTTTTATTTTGATAGCCTACTTCCAGCTATGGACAAGTGAATTTGTAAATTATCTAAATATTTAGCGAAGCTGTAAAAATTTGTTTCAAAGCTAAATATTTAGCTTCAAACAAAAACATTTGCTTGCTAACTAAATATCTAGCTGGAAGCTAAATATTTTTACTGTTGTTTACAACATGTTTAGTTTGCAAGATAAATATTTAATTTAGAGGTAAATATTTAGTAAAATAAATGAAGTTTGGTTACTAATATAGACTAATATTACTTAGCTTATAAAATAAAATAAAATAAAGAATAGCCCTGAAAAGCAAAATGATTTTTGCAGCCTGAAATGACTTTGCACATATTTTAAGCTTTATTTTCACCATAACATCACTAATATAAACTAAGATTAAGATTAAGAAACAAATCTACAGTTAATCTATCATTAACTTTAGATTTTCAGATTCCATCCAGCATCTAGAACTACTTACAACTTTACTTTGTTTACTAAATATTTCATTTGGAGTTTAATAATTAGTCTAGGCAGAAATATTTAGCGTTCTTACTAAATATTTGTGAGCTGAACATTTAATTTGGAGCTGAATATTAAGCTTCATTTATTAAAACTCATCCGTTGTGATTAGTCATATCTTCCTTGGAGGTTTTGGGGGTAAATGAGTGAGGAGCTCCTGACCTGGAGCTAGTGGGAGATAAAGGGCTGTAGAAGTCCTGGGCTATTCTGTGGCCATACCAGGCTGTTCCAATCAGGGCAACCACACCTGGAAAAGCAGCAACAAGGAAAAGCAAATCAGAATTCCTTCTTCTGTAATTCAGGTTCAGCTTGCTAAATTATAATGTCAAAAGAAAGAAAATAAAGTATTTCTCAAAAGCTAAAAGCCAAATGATTTATATTTTTGTGAAGTCCCTCCAGGTTATTGCAATGTGTTTTTGTGATCTTTGAGGCCAAAAATGACTTTGCACATTTTTCAGGCTTTACTTTTGTCATAACCTGGTCTTACAAAAAGCCGACCTTCCTAAAAAACAAAGATATTTCAAAGTCCTTCTTCAAATAAACATTTACATGAGATGCAACTGGCTGATAGATGATTGGCTCGTCATCTGTCAGCCAATCAGAGATGTCTTGAGTTTTATTCAGGCGTCTTCTTGCTGCGTTTTGGGGAAATTACAATCACAGCTTTTGCAGAAAAGTTACGGATTCAACACGTTGGAATGATGTTGGCTGTGTGATGCTGTGAGAGCGCCGGGGTAGACAGCTGCACATTGTCCAAAAAAACAACAAAAAACTAACTAACACAAAAAAACATCATCCTGCCACTACTTCCTGTCGTCTTCTTCAGTGCTTCCACCAGTAGTAACGTACGGTCATTGATCACGTGACTTGGGATGCGGAAAAAAAAGTGTTTCCTTTGCAGTTCTATGAAACATTTACTTTAAAGGTATGAAGCGCAACAACTTTTCATTAAAAATGTTTTTTTTTTTTTTTTTTTTTTTTAAATTGTTATGTTTACATTAAGTCCATTTATTTTCAGAATTTAAATTTGCACAACTTTATGATTAACATAAAAGCTGCTACAGAGTCGTACCATCCGGTCTGTGATGACTCTGGTTTTATCCACCGGAGGAGAGACTGGAATGAAAGAAACTGATTCTTTTGATGAATGACCTGATCTGTGATTAGTTAAGTGATGAGCCAAAACACGTAAGCACTTATTTTACTGAACTGCATGCAAAGCACCGTTTAGAGCATATTTTAAGGGTTACTAGCAAATTTCGCTAAAATGTTTCTCAATGAGAAACTCAAAAAAAAACCTAATTGTGTCGAGTCTCTCACCAGCTATAATGAAGATCACTCCTCCAGCCAGAGCTACTTTGGACTTCTTCTGCGGTTGCTTACCCATAAAGGTGGTGCACTCCATTCCCACCACTGTCACCATTATGGATATGAAGCAGAGGAAGATGGCTGCACACATGAGCCCCCGGGTCACCTGTATGTTCGCTGGGGGCACACATTCAGGATAGAGGCCTTCGATTAGGACGTTTTATCCACAGCAACACGGAAGGATGTTTCAGATCTTCAATCAAATTTTAGTGTCAGATAATATTTTACATGTAAACTGTAGATTTCAAATGATAATGTTATTTATTAAGGGAAAAGAAAAACACTCCAAATAACTGGTTGTGTCGGTTTTTTTTGGAGAATCCGCCGAACAGGGATTCTGACTTGCAGGTTAATTTAATCACTCTGGAGAATAAAACGATACTTTGTTTTTCATCATTCGAATGAATACCTTTAATGGCCCTCAGATTGCTCAGAAACAATACTCCTTCATTCAGACAATCTGAAAATGCTAAGTTCCATACTTTTACTGACTGATCGCAACAGTTATCATAATAAATAATTAATAAAAAATATACATTTTTATTAATAATTAAATCAAAATCTTAAATTTTAATGAATAGGAAAAATCCCAAAGGGATTAATATCTATCTGTCCGTCCGTCCCTCCCTCCCCCCCCTCCCTCCTCCCTCCATCCCATCCATCCATCCATCCATCCATCCATCCATCCATCCATCCATCCATCCATCCATCCATCCATCCATCATCCATCCATCCATCCATCCATCCATCCATCCATCCATCCATCCATCCATCCATCCATCCATCATCCATCCATCTATCTATCTATCTATATATATCTATCTATCTATCTATCTATCTATCTATCTATCTATCTATCTATCTATCTATCTATCTATCTATCTATCTATCTATCTATCTGTGTGTCTATATAGTTCCACTAGAACATAAGTGAAATAATCTGTCAGTGGAACTAATACTTTCTCCATCAATATTAATCATATTTCTTGCTGAAAAGTCATTTGTAACTTAGTTCTGTCTTATTTCAAGTGTACTTAGATATTTGCACTGGAAACCAAACTTGGCAAGAGTTTGTGTTTTTTGCAGTGCATTTCAGTGGAGGGTTTCTGTGATCAGAGGTCAGAGGTCCTGAAGACATCAGAATGTCCCTGATCTTCAGCAGGACGTAGTTCATGATGCTATAGCCAAAACAAAACAACATGATGCTATAGCATGTTTTGGCTATAGCCAAAACATGCTATAGCCCCAATAGCATGCTATTGGGGATAGCATGCTATTGTCCCAATGAAGCCGAGGAAGGCCAGGGAGAAGCCAAGAAGCTGGACTCCAGAATTTGGCTATAGCATATTTTCTACCATATTTTCTACCATATTTTCAAGTAACATTCCTCCCACAATTAAACTGAACTGTCCAAATTCTGGAATCAGCTTAAAACAAAGTTGTTTTCTTTGCTTTTGAGCTTGTGAAGCAATCTGACTGAGGAGGGCATCGCTAGAACTTACATGGCAGCTGAAGGAATGAGTCGTAGACTTTACACTGCATCTGCCCGGTGGTCTGCCACATGCAGCTCTTCCACAGACCCTCATACATCGCCTGAGCTGTGATGATGTTGCTCCCCAAGTACGACGAAGCTTTCCACTCCACCATGGCCGTGCATGCTATTGTCCCAATGAAGCCGAGGACGGCCAGGGAGAAGCCAAGAAGCTGGACTCCAGAATTTGACATTTTTTGACCTTTACAAGGATGAAACAAATGCTGTGAAGAAGAGAGAGAAAAAAAAGATTTTAAAGATTGGAATCTGGAGTAATGTTCTTTCGCTGTGGATCACAGGGGAAAAAAAGAAAAGAAAATCAGGTATGCAGCTGCGCTTCCCCTTGGGAAGGATCCAGAACTCATGCTGCCTTTCATCCAGTGAAGGAGAAAAATGGTGACACTATGTGGACCTGAGCTTCTACTGCAATGAAGGGGATTACTTAAAATTCTCAAACTGGAGAAAAAGGAAATAAAATGTCATTCAGACATAAGTGGGGTTTGCTACACAATCTCCAAAGTCTGTGCAATTATAAGAATATAAATAGAATATCATTAAAATGAAAACCTTAACATCTCACAAGTAGATTTAATATGCAGAGTAATTTATTTTTTATTATTTTGATGGTTATTGATTACAGATAAATAAAAACACAACATTCATTTTCTTTGTAGAATCAAGTATTATATAAGTCCAAATTTATACAGATTTTTCCTGTATGAATTTTATATTATATTGTGATCTGCATAGTCCTGGGGAAGACTGATTGGTTCTGCTCTGATCAGGTCTGATTTGGTCATTATTCATCTAAGGAAGCAAACGTTACATATGGGGTTCCTCAGGGCTTCGTTCTCAGCCCCGTTTTGTTGACGGTTGTTCTGCTGATTCTCCTCGATACGGCATGTCAACGGAGCCCAGACCAACTAGTAAGTGGATAATATTCTACTGGACATGGACATACTATCAGAGGGCCTACTATATTCAAATCTTTCAGTTAGTTTTTCTGAATAACTTAAATTAGCAGTGAAGCATATTTATCAAAATGCCCGAAATTAGGGCAGCGACTTCTGATTATTTTACTGATCTTGTATTCTGACAATTGAGTAATTAGATTTAAAAATGCATATTTTATACAATGTCAAAAGTAGACGTGAAATGAAATTTCACAAATATTTAATTTCCTCTTTTAAATAATAAAAGAAACTTTTAACTGCCTAAAATGCAATAACAGAATGCGTTTAGTGAATCCTTGATCATTTGTAGAAAAAGAAGCATCTGCATCTAAAAATATATATATTTCTAACATCAACATGTGAAAACATCAAGCCTTTCTGCTGAACTTAATATCATGGAGTTTGGGGCTGATCTTTGGTTTTTGGATTAACCCGTTAGCAATTAAATAGTAAAATGTGCTTATAGTATTTTTGTTTTTTGATTTTTCACAGAATTTGAACCAGATGAAAGTAAAACTGCCACTTGAGGAGTTCTGAGTAGAATATATTTACAGACAAAAAAAAAAAGGTTTTTCATCTTAAATTCAAAATGGATATATTTTTTAAACAGTTTTGTCTTTTGAGGGTCTGGACTCTCCAGCTAACGGTCATCTGAATAATAAATTAGATGCTGATTATTTCAATTGTTGATTTATCTGATTAATTCTTTCATCTCTACTTGACATCAGTATCCATAAATATTGGAACTATGATAAGGTTCTGTATTTTAACTGGATTATTGACATGACTAGATTTTGTGACGTATTATGATGTAACCTGGAACTACAATCTGACTCAGAGAGGAAACCCTTTTCTCTTGAATCCGTTTGCTTTGTTTTTATTGTTTGTTTTTGCTGAAACTGACAGACCACTTATCTCAGCAGGAACTTTTTGTGATGTTGGTCTGATGAAATCGTGGCAGCACCCAGGCTGCCGTCCAAAGGTTTTTCTCTCTCCTGAGTCCGGCTTGTTGTTTGCAGTCAGCGTCAGCTGCTTTGCCGATCCACCCGCACATTTATCTCAGTGCTATGGGATCGCCGTAACACACAGGTATGTTGGAGTTCTTTCGACTTTTATCGGAAAAGTCGGGTTCTTTTGTGATTGAATTATCGGTGAGCAGAAACTCTGTCAGTTTAATGTATCCACCCCCATCAAATGTCTTTAAATCTGTTATTTTACATTATTCCTTCACATTCTTTTTTTTTTTTTTTTTTTTGTAGTAACCATGGACAGACAGTTGGGTCGAACTCTGCTGGTGCTGCTTCTCTGCCGTATAGGCAACAGCACCTGTCCGTACAAATGCCAGTGCTTCACTGAGCTTCAGGTGCTGTGTGCCGATGAGAGGATGTCGACTTTACCCAGGGACATTTCCAGACAGGTCAGGGAGGTTATCATAATGACGTCCTCCTTGGAGTACCTCTTTTCCCACTCGCTGATGGAGAGCCCACAGCTCACCAAGCTCATCTTCCTAAACAATGCCCTGACAAGTATCCACATGAGCGCGTTTGAGCATCTGACCGAGCTGCTGGAGCTGGAGCTCAGTGGGAATCCCCAGCTGGATCACCTCTACCTGGGAACCTTCTCCAAGCAGGAGAAGCTAACCAAACTGCTGCTCAACTACAACAGCCTGCAAACAATACTTCCTGGGTTGTTTCACCCTCTGACACAGCTGGAGATTCTGCAGATGAGGAGCAACCTGTTGTCAGATCTACCTCTGTTTCTTTTCCAGAACCTCGGCTCGCTGCGCGTTCTTGATCTCTCCCAAAACAGAATCCAAGAAGTCACAGGAGAGACCTTTTCTGGCCTGGCCAGTTTGGAGATCCTGAAGATGGGCAACAACCTCATCGGCAACCTCACGTCTGACACATTCCACAACATCTCGCAGCTCACCGAGCTTCACCTGGAGTGGAACGGGATAGCGCAGCTCGACGACGCCGTCTTCTCTGTGTTGACAAACCTGAGTGTGCTGAACCTCCGTGGGAACCGGCTGACAGCCTTCACCAATAAAGTCTTCGGAGGGGAGCCGACAAATCTGAAGGAGCTGAATCTCAAAGGCAACAGACTGACTGAGTTGTCTCTGGACAGCCTGAGCTCACTGACAGTTCTCACGTTGTCGGACAACCAGCTTTCCAGCCTCACAGAAAACCTATTTAGAAATCTAACCTCCTTGGAGAGCCTGGACATGTCTGGCAACCAGCTCACCTCTCTGCCTGAAGGGATCTTTAAAGACCTGTTGAGCATCGAGGTGATCAACCTCCACAACAACAACCTGACTGAGCTGGACTCCAAACTATTCCAGGACCAGATTTTACTTAAGAGGCTCTATCTGTCCCACAACCAGCTGGAGACGCTCCGGCTGGGACTTTTTGATCATTTTATCTTGCGGCCAAAGGTGAGGCTTCATGGGAACCCCTGGAGGTGTGAATGCCAGCTGTGGTACCTTCACGAGTGGCTAATGCAGAACTTACAGGACGTGGAGCTGTCAGACCTGGTGGCCTGTGAGAGGCCGGACTCTCTGAGAAAACAAACCCTGGTTTCCATCAGCAGGGATCAGCTGGTCTGTCACCTGCCGGTAGACCGTATGCCTGGGCCGAACTCCTGCAGCCTGCAAGTATCTAACGACACCGTGGTCGTCAGATGCAGCGTGGAAAAGTGCTCTCCCCTGACGGTTAAGGTGCAGTTTCAAGAGGAAAATGGTGACGTTAGGGAGCACATTTTGGAAAAAGAGTCAGATAAAGCTCAATGTAGCAATGAGACGCTGAGAGAAAGCACCATTGATTAGCTTCAAGGACTTTGTCCAGAGAGCAAATTCTGTCTTCAAACCAGGGGTCGATGATGTTGCCTGACTGTTAGTCAGCACTGTAAGCAAATATCTGACTCACCGACTGATAATCAGTCGGTGAGTGTGGATAAAGCTCTTTTTGTGCAAACGTCAGCTAGTTATTTTTTTTATTTAAGGTCCTGCAGTGACTTAAAAGAACGAGTACTGATAAAACAGAAAAACTCTGTCGTGCACATACATTTACTCTGATGCCCCTAAATAAAATTTAGTGCAATAAAATGTCTTCAGAAGTCATCCAATCACGAAAGTCCATCTGTGAGTAATTTAATCCTGGACACACTGACTCCAATGAGCTAATATCGTATCTACCTTGTTGCTCAGCGCTTTAGCATTTTTTTTTTTTGCTAACCTTCAAAACATTTGCCGCGCTTAGTTTCCCCGAGTTTATTTTCTGGAAAATAAACTTGAAATAAAATCTAACTTAAAATTTTTTTGTGTGTGTGGATGTGTGTGTGTGTGTGTGTGTGTGTGTGTGTGTGTGTGTGTGTGTGTGTGTGTGTGTGTGTGTGTGTGTGTGCGTGTGTGTTTCCAGGTGAATACATTTTGACATCAGAATAAAAAATCAAACTCTTGTTTGACCTGTGTTTTTAGTTTGATCATTATGTGGAAGTTGCTACTTTTCTTGAATTCAAAGGCATCAATTGGACCAAAAAAAAGAGGATGTCTAAGAAAATATGAACCATTTAAAATGCTGGAATTATTCAAAACTAGAACATCTGAGCACTGATTCATTGCAAACCAAGTTGTCCAAAGACCATGTAAAGAACGCTGCAGACGGGTTTCATCTCATACACCAAACAAATACTGCTGCAAATTAAATCCTGCATGTTTCTGACCAACTGTGAAACATCTGCTGAACATCTGTGTTGGTGTTTTGGTTCTCGGCATTCAAGAAGTCTTCAAGTACTCAGACGTTTATGTTCATGCTAACCACATGTTTTTGATTCATAGTCTCATAGTGTCCACAGAGACAGACCGGTCGTCCTGTGGTCAGCACTCTGGTCCTGAAGACTCAGAGGGATGACAAAAGAGTGCAGGAGGAGGTTCCCCCTTTGCACAGCAAGATACACAGATGGCTACACCTTGAATACAGCACTTACTGGTGGTTAACAAGGGTCAAATGTCAGGGCGTCAATTAGCTCTTCAATGTGATGTGAATGGCGTCACAGTAAACAGGACAAAAACAAGCTGAAGCGGTCAGTTTTCCGAAGCTCTGATTGGATCACCTAAACTGAAACTAATTCTTACTTAACCGAAACTATTGCTGTAAATAACGAGACGAATGTGGGCTGCAAATATTTAATTTTCTAAAGTAGAAATTAGACTGTTACAGTTAATTCCAGTTTATTTGCATTTCAGCAACCAGGCCGTTCAAAACGCTTTACACCTT